CCCAGCTACTCAGGAGGCTGAGGCAGGAGAATTGCCTGAACCCAGGAGGCGGAGGTTGCGGTGAGCCGAGATCGCGCCATTGCACTCCAGCCTGGGTAACAAAAAGCGAAACTCCGTCTCAAAAAAAAAAAAAGAAAATACAGATATTTACAACTGAACCATAAGTACCATGTATTAATATGAAAACTCATGAGATGCACCAAAGTAATTCTTAAGGGATAGGTTTATATACATACCTTAGTAAAGAATAACTGGATATTATACATTTAGCATCTAACTCAAGAAAATCAGTGAGGTGGGACAGGGAGTAAACCCAAAGAAAGTGGAAGGAAAGAAATACTAAAGAACAAAAGTTATTAAGTGAAAATTCAAGAAACGATTCAACAAAACTAAAAGCCGGCTCCTTGGAAAAACTTACCAAATATAACAGAAGACAGAAGTAACAAAATTAGGAATAAAAAAGAAATGTAATTCTAGACACAGCAGCAATTTTAGAAAATAGTAGGATCCAATGAATAACTTTATGACCATAAATTTGAAACACAAAATGGGCAGTTTCTTAGAAAAACTTAATGAAATTGTCTTAAAAACCAAAATAGACCTAGAACAATTAAGAAAATTTATTCATTCAAATATTTAATGATTATTTGTAAAATGTGCCTGATGTCATTTTAGGCCCTGGAGATAATAGCAGTGAACAAAAAATACCGGAAGACTCTGTTTTCATGGAGCTTCCTTTGTTGTGGTGGGAGACATCATTAATACATTTATCAGGTGTTGCTAATTCTGTGAAGAACAAAGAAAATGGCCAGGCACAGTGGCTCACGCCAGTAATACCAGCACTTTGGGAGGCCAAGGCAAGCGGATCACCTGAGGTCAGGAGTTCCAGGCCATCCCGGACAACATGGTGAAATGTCGTCTCTACTTAAAATACAAAAATTAGCCAGTTGTGGTGGCACACGCCTGTAGTTGCAGCTACTCAGGAGCCTGAGACAGGAGAATCGCTTGAACGTGGGAGATGGAGGTTGCCGTGAGCTGATATTGTACCACTGCATACCAGCCTGGGTGACAGAATGAGGCTCCATCTAAGAAAAAAAAAAAGTGAAGGGAGAATGTGCTGTTTTATGTAGGAAAGCCAGAGAAACAGTACAGGACCTGAAGGAAGCAATGGAGCAAGCCTTAGGAGTAGGTGCAAAGGACCTGAGGCAGGAGCATGTTTGGTGGAACAGAATTGAGTATGGTGTATAAGGGAGACTGGCAGAAGCAGAGATTAGTGAGGTAACCAGGGGCTAGATGATGAAATTTTTGTAAAGACTTGATTCTGCAGTTAGAAATTTACCCATGAAATGGAGATGAGTATAATAACTTCCACTCATAAGATTATGAAGTTAATGAATTAAATGGATGTGGATTTTTTTTTTTTGTAAAGCACTATCCAAGTGTAGTAGTAATTTGTCAAATATTTCATCCAGAAGTAGTAATTTGTCAAACATTTATGAAGGAGCACCCGCCATAGGCCAGGACATGTGCTAAGCATAAAGAATACAAAGATGATTAAAACATGGCAGTGCTCACTGCCCAGTGTGGGGGACAGGCACATAAATTCTTTTCTGTAGTGTGCTAATGGCAGTAATAGAGCACATATTGTTTGAAGAGTAGAAGTACCATCGACGTTTAACTTTGTAGCGCTTATAAGTTAGCTTATTAAAAGGACGTATATAAATATTTTTAGGGTAGCTTATGTTTTCCTGTTAACCCAAGGAGAATGAAAACTTGGCCTTCTCATGATTGTTTAGTGATGTTTCTGCTGAGATGAATACCTGAGTGGCATGCTTACCACACCCATCTGTAGTGTGAATAAACTTACAGTAGTAAGCAAGACATAAACATGGTAAGAAATCTAGAATTTGGAACGTGGTGTATCCATAGCATTTCAGATGACTTTTAATTCTTTGTCTCCAAAGTTGGTTCAACATGAAGTAATACTACTCATTAGTTTTTCTTAATAAATGATATATTGCAAACTTCTGCCATTTCTTTGTTGTTAAAGCTTTATTAGAGGCTTTATAGCCTAACTGGCATGTAGACACTACTGCTCTTTCAGTCTATTTTGGCAGCTTTCATTCTTAAATCACTCAGCTAGTCTGAAAACTTCTTACCTTCCTAACATTTCATTTGTACTTACGAGTCGTATCCATAATATTATCTTATTGGATCCTCTCAGCTCTGTAAGGTAGAGACTGCTTTCGCTATTCCAGACTAGAGACAACTGAGACTTGGTGAGGTTTACTGACAGTCAGGTTCACATGGTTAAGAAGCGGCAGAGCTGGGATTCGAGCTGTCAGTGACTTCAGAGCCGACCCCCTTTGCCCTTCTGCCTCCCAGGATAGATTGGCAGTGATTGCAGAATGCTTCCTTTCCTGGAGCAATTTGGATATAATGGTCTTTAGCCTGATTGAAATAGGTTAGTACCTTTGTAAGTTTTGAATTATGTGTTTCCCTGTCCTGGAATATAGGTAAAGAAATTAAACATCACCATCTAGTTCCTTTAGGTCCGGACTAAAATACACATACTGTGTCGTGGTTCCAGTCTTGGCTTTGCCCACTGACTGTGTGAGCTTGGGTAAGGTCTTTAACCTGGCTTTTGGGTGCTTCTGCTATAAAAGAAGGGGACTGGATTAAATAATTTTCTCTATTTTCTACCAGCTCAATAAATTATCTGATTCTATTCTCTACCAAGATTAAAGATTAAGATCAACTTCTTTGGCCATCTAGAAGCTATTGTTCCAAATGAAATAAGAAAGTATGGATAGTAAGTAAACTTACACCAGGCTAGTAGTTTTTGCCATCCTAAAGTGTATGTGTTGTGTGCTCAATCTTAAGGGCTGGGACTGTTCCCAGAAGGCCTGGGCTGGTCACAAACAAAATGGAACACTCAAAAACTAAGCACTAAAAATATCTCACAAAAATGCTTCCTCCATGCACTCATTGGAACAGGTAATTACTGTGGCAACAACAAACTAATTTGAAGTGTTAGCTGTTAATTAAAACATTGCAGAGGTGTATAGTTTGTCTTTTGGTGTAACCAGAACCTCCATTCAAACTTCATTAATCACTTTACAGTTAATGTGTTGAGGGAGGTCAAGACAATTGAGATGCAGTATCTGTTGAAAGTAAACAAATTCCTTTTCTCTAAGTAAATACCACTTGCAAAGTTAAGGGACACACTCGACTCATGGCTGGCATTGCCTTTGTCATCCACTTCTCCTTGATGATTAAATGTTAAATTGGTACTGTCATTGCACTGTAAACCAAACCACATAGCATCTTTATTGCTCGAAATCGAACCCAAACTTCCACGGATGAATTAGCATGCGTCATAATTAAATTATCAAGCGTCCCCTTTTAATTCAGTTGGAAATAGGAGACCTTTCTTTTAGAAAAGAGATCGGCTTTCTTGACAAGCTAATTAAGTTGCCAAACTGTCCAGCATGGTATGTATATTAGACTATCTGCTAATCATTTTCTTATCGCTGCTGTTTGTCTCAAACGCCCAGGTGTTGCTTATTCAAAGTACCAACACTGATCTTTTTACAACTTTTGAATCCTTGTATATACATTTAATTATTTGTCTTTATATTTCAGTTCTTGGTTAGTAAATCTAATATATAATATTTTTTAAAGTTGGAGTTGGAAGAATCTGTGATGTGGAAGGGGAAAAATAATATATCACAAAATCTTACGTATTCTATTACCTGTATTTACATGGAATAAACTTACTAATTTCCTTTATTTTTATTTTTATTTTATTTATTTATTTTTTTTGAGACGGAGTTTCACTCATGTTACCCAGGCTGGAGTGCAATGGCGCGATCTCGGCTTACCGCAACCTCCGCCTCCCGGGTTCAGGCACTTCTCCTGCCTCAGCCTCCTGAGTAGCTGGGATTACAGGCACGCACCACCATGCCCAGCTAATTTTTTGTATTTTTAGTAGAGACAGGGTTTCACCATGTTGACCAGGATGGTCTCTATCTCTTGACCGCGTGATCCACCTGCTTCGGCCTCCCAAAGTGCTGGGATTACAGGCTTGAGCCACCGCGCCCGGCCCAAGCCCCTGTCTTAGTCAGTCAGTCACTCAGCAAGATAAGCAAACACAAAAGGTCTTGATGAATAGTAATGATATTTTATTTCTGTAAACCTTGTTCTCATTCTTTTTCATAAATGAATAAATTCATATTTCTTGATTTAAGTTATATCTGTTACTTTGAGCTTGTTTTGATGAACTGTTAGGATATAGTTTATCTGCATGTGTAATTGAAAAAAATAAGCAAAAAAAAATGAAAAAGAAAAAAAAGCAAAATGGCTGTAAATACTGCTTAACATAGAGCTATAGAGAACCCACACACACAGTGATAGTCATAAGGGTTCTGGAGCCAGAAGACCTAGGTTTGAGGTCTCATTCTGCCAGTGGTTACTTTGTGCCATTGGGCAAACTGTTTAGCTTCCCTGTGCTTCAGAATTCTCATCTATAAAAGGAGGATAATAATATATCAGCATCACCTCAGAGAGTTATTTTAAGGTAATGTATAGTAAATCACTTTGTAAACCATTAAACTCCATATAAATGTAAATTACTAATGTTGTTAGTGTTCTTTGAAAGTACCGTGTATCCCATTGCTGCAGAAATGTTTGGATTTACGTTTATGTTCTTAACCATTTTGTAGATTGTTTAGTGATCCCAAGTGATTTTGTTTTTTTTTTTTTTTTTTTTGACTTATTTTTTCTTTGTTTTTTTTTTTAGAGTGCAGTGGTCCCAAGTGGATTTTGTTTTTTTTTTTTTTTTTCTTCCCATAGAGCATATCATGTCCCAAGTGGCAAAATATTAGCTGTCAAGGTAAGCACTGGATACATTTTATGAGATTCTTAATGTTCACCTCTTTCCTTTCTCCTGTTAGCTTGAGTCACAGATATTGTCAAAGAGGTGATGAAATGGTTTAAGGTTCAGATGGTAGATAGAGAAAGCTGTGGCCCTCTGGTACCTGAAGATCTTTTAAGTAAGCCTTAAAATAGTCAATTGTAAGCTCCGTGTATTGTGATTCTTCTCGGCAAGAGGAGAAAACTTCTGTGTCACCTGCTAAGTGGCGTTACCTTCTTCCTTGTCATGCAGCTCAAAACCTTATTAGTAATCCTTTTTCTTCTATAAATGTGCCACATCCTGTGAATTGCTATATCCTGTTAGAAATTTTCCCTGAAATATATTCATTTGCTACTTTCTTTCTATTCTCATTTCTATTGATTCATCTCCAGGATCCTTTTTAGCTATCTACCGTGAGAAATTGGTCTCTTTCTCTAACAGTTGTGTAGTACATATTTCTGCATCTTTTTTCTCATTTAGGAAACTAAGAATCAAAGCAATTACATTGCAATTACTTATACCTTTTAGTAAGTTGAAACCAAAACTAAGGCTTAGATCCTGACTGCTAGTGAAATCCAGAGTTGTTCTTCTATATCACATCTAGTATAGCACCTAGAATGTGTTATGTGACATTGTCAAGTCCAGTTTTAATCAGTTAAATAGCTTGTGAGGAGGTACAACAGAACTTCCTTTGAGATGTTTTCTTTGACAGTTCAGCCATGTAAAGTCTGTAGAATTGTAGAACTGGAAGCGACCTTGGAAATCATTGGTTACAGCCCCCACATTTTACAGAGGCACTCAGCTCACTGACAGCAGCTCACTCGTACCACTTTGGCACTCACTGAGTGCGGCTCTGATGTACCACCTTGGCATTGGATTAATTTTTCTGTACCTCCTGAGCTCCCTTTTCAATAAGAGAATACTTCCATTAACTTGAGCACTATTTTCGCATCCATTGAGTTATTTTTTGTTCCTTTTATGTCAAAAGTCTTAAATTGTTGTTGATGATATTTAGATAGTCAACTCCAGGTTATTTACTCCAGGACAGGGGAACACTGTTATAAATCATCCAGAAGCCTATCATTATTTGGCCTTGCCAAGTACATTATACATTTTTTATAATTTCATGTATTTTGAATTATGTTTATATAGACTAATATTAAAATTCTTGTGCATGAGTTGGATGTGGCAAGGGGCCAACAGCCTTTTCTGGAAAGGGTTAAAAGCAATTTTAAAGAAAGGATATATTTACAAAATAGCTGTTAAAGTAGAGACTGTCAGTAAATGAATATAGTTGGGATTTACAAATATGCGGTTCACTAGACCTGACCATTGAACTGGGCTTTACAGCAAGAACTGTACTGTATTCACTTTGTATCTCTAGATTTCATAAAATCACACAGAAGATGCTCACACTGAGTTGAATGAATGCATGATTTAAGAGCAGATATGATTATTGTGATTAAACTTTTGTGTAGCCCTGAGCTTGTTGGTAGTTCAGGCAAAAACCATGTAACTTAAATAATAGTCATCATCTAAGAAAAAGAAAATTACCATTTCTTCAAAATAGGCAGAATTTTTAATTCTTAGAAGTGTGTTAGTTTCTAAATATTTGGAGATTTTCCAGATATCTTTCTGTTACTGATTTCTAATTTAATTCCATTGTGGTTACAGAACACCCTTCCTATAATTTGAATTACTTTAAATTTGTTGAGACTTATTTTATGGCTCAGAATATGACCTATTTTGCTAAATAATACTTGTACACATGAAAAGAATATATAATCTGCTTGTGCCTGTAATCCCTGCACTTTGGGAAGCTGAGGTAGGTGGATGGCTTGAGCTCAGGAGGATGAGATTAGCCTGGTCAACATGGCAAACCCCTTCTCTACAAAAAATACACACACAAAAGTTAGCTGGATATGGTGGTGTGTGCCTGTAGTCTCAGCTACTTAGGAGGCTAAGAGGGGATTGCTGCAGCTGAGGAAGTTGAGACTGCAGTGAGCTGTGATTGCACCGCTGCAGCCTATTCAGGTGGCAGAGTAAGACCTCATCTCAAAAAAAAAATTAAAAAAAAAAATATATATATATATATGTATAAAGTCCACTGTATAGGTTATTGTAGTAATGCCAATTAGATCAAGTTGGCTGATAGTGTTATTCAAATCGTCTATATCTTTACTGATTTTTATCTAGCTGTTCTATCAGTTTTTTAAAGAGGAGTGTTGAAATACTCAACAGTAATTGTGGCCTACACTTCTGTTATTTTTTACTTAATGTTTTTTGAAGATATTCTTAGATGTATTTATGGTTGTTATGTTCTGTTGATGAATTGGCCTCATTGCCATTCTGAAGTAAACTTCTTTGTCTGTGATCATATTCTTTGCTCTAAAATTTATAGTCTGATATTAAATTATAGACTTTATTTTGACTAGTGTTAGCATAATATCTTTTTTTTTTTTAACTTTTAACCTATTGTGTCATTATTTTTGAAATGTATTTCATGTAGGCAGCATATAGTTGGGTCTTGTTTTTAAATTCAGTTGGATGATCTCTGCTTTTTAAGTGGGGTATTGAAACTATTTACATTTCATGTGATTATTGATATGGTTGGATTCAAATCTATCATTTTGCCCTTTGTTTTATATTTGTCCTGCCTGTCTGCCCCCTTTTTTAAGTGATTGCTTTAGAATTCATAGTGAACATTTTCAACTTCACCTAGTCTCCCTATGTAAATAGTATTGTACCACTTTATAGTCTAGAAGTCTTACAATGGTATATTTTCATTTCTCTCATCCCAGCCTTTGTTTTGTTATCATGTATTTTACAACCTCGTATGCTATAAACCCCGGAATACATTGTCAGTATTTTTGCTTTTGACATTTATCTTTTAAAGACATTTAAAAAGTAAGAAAAATAGTGTTTTATATTTATTCATGTATTTACCAATTCCAGCTCTCCTCATTCCTTTGTGTGGTTCAGATTTCCATCTGGTATTATTTTCCTTCTGTCTGAATGACTTCTTCCTTTACATTTCATATAGTGTAGGTCTTTTGGTGTTGAATTCTTTCAGCTTTTGTATGTCTAAAAATGTGTATTTCACTTTCATTTTTGGAAGGTATTTTATTTTTTGCTGGATGTAGAATTCTAGGTTGACTGCTGTTTTCTTTCAATATTTTAAAGATTTTGTTTCACTATTTTCATTCTTTCTAGTGAGAAGTTTACTGTCGTTTTTAATCTTTGTTCCTCTGTACATTAGAATTGGCTCCATTTCTGGCCGCTTTCAAGATATTTTCTTTATCACTAGTGTTAAGCAATTTAATTATGATGAGCGTTGATGTATTAATAATTTTCTTCATAATTCATGTGCTTGGGGTTTGTTGAGATTCTTCGGATTTGGGAAGTTTTCATCTAATTTGGAAAAATTTGCCATTTTTCTTTAGATAGTTCTCCCTACCATTAGGAACTTGTTGTATATGTATTATGTCACTCGAAGTTGTCTTGTCACTTGAAGTTGTCTCAGTGAAATGATGCTCTGTTTTAGTCATTTTTCTGTGTTTCATTTTGTGTAGTCTTTTCTGTGCATCTTCAAGTTCACTGACTTTCTTCTTTTGCATTTTCTAATTTGCTGTTAATCCCTCCCGGTGCATTGTTTCCATTTTAGGTACTACTTTTTATCCCTAGAGGTTTAGATGGCCTTTATTTACATCTTTACTGNTCAAAACTTGCTTTCTTTTTTTTTTCATTTTTATAAATAAAGACGGGGTTTCACCATGTTGCCCAGGCTTGTGTCAAATTCCTTTGATGGTTAATGTTGTCAACTTAATTGGATTGAAGGATGCAAAGTATTGCTCCTGGGTGTGTCTGTGAAGGTGTTAACATTCACAGAGGTTAACATTTGAGTTAATGTTAACATAGGAGGTTAACATTTGAGTCAGTGGACTGGGACAGGCAGACTCACCCTCAATCTGGGTGGGCGCCAGCTAATCAGCCACCAGCTCGTCTAGGATAAAAGCAGGCAGAAGTTTGAAGGACTTGACTTGCTGAGTCTTCTGGCCTTCAGCCTGCTTCCTTGCTGGTTGTTTCCTGCCCCTGAGCATCAGACTCCAAGTTCATCAGCTTTTGGACTCTTGGACTTACACCAGTGATTTGCCAGGTGGCTCTCAGGCCTTCAGCCACATGTTGGCTTCCCTACTTCTGAGGTTTTGAGACTTGGACTGGCTTCCTTGCTCCTCAGCTTGCAGATGGCCTATTGTGGGACTTTACCTTGTGATCCTGTGAGTCAATACTCCTTAATAAATCCCTTCTTATATACATCTATCTTATTAGCTCCGTCTCTCTAGAGAACCCTGACTAGTGCAGAAATGGTATTTAGTGACTTTTAAATAATTTGATCCCTTCAAGGCTTGCTTTTACGTTTTATCAGATAGTACCAGCTCAGTGGTTAGTCTAGAACTAATTTTCCCCATGCAACTGAAGTAGTAATTTTGAGTACTATAACTGTTGCCTTGAGAATTGCAAGGTTTTCCACACTGACCGGTGGGAATACCCAGTATTAATGCCCAGTATTAATCTGGAGATTGTTCCTTCTGAGCCTTTCTGGTGGTTTTCTCCCTGGCCTCAGGTGATTTCCTGACATCTATATGCAGATGATTCATTACTCAGCCGAAGAGTCCAGGACCCCCTTGGCAGATCTCTGGAGCTCTGGAGCTCTCTCTCAGGTCCTCTGACGGCTCTGTGCCCTCTGCTCCTCTAGCTTCCTTGTCCTCCTCAGAATCTTAGTTTTGTTTTCTCACCTTAGGGAGGTGGCTTATCTCTGCCTGGGTTCTCCTCCCTGCACTGGGGCCTGGAAACTTACTCTCGTCAGCAAGCTGGGCAGTCTTAGGGCTCATCTCATTTCTTTTCCATCTTTCAGGGATCACTGCCCCATTGTGGCTAATGTCCAATGCCTGGAAGCCTGTTTGTGTGTGTGTGTGTGT